GTTTTTTTCGGGATTGCGATTTGGCAGCTCAGGGCTTGAACTAGATGGTTGAGCTGGTAGTTTCATGGTTATTGACCGGAGTCGACAGTCTGCGATAATCAATAAATTGGGATCAGTTGTTGAAACGGAGTTTCGTGTGGCAGCAGTGCCGCGGTTGGAATTTAATGAGATAATCTTTGGTGATTGCGGCCGCGCATTTCGGTTCGCAGCAGCGCAAGACGATTGATGAGTAGACATGTCTATGACAGCCTAGCTGAAATTCTGAATAATCTTGGCATTCCTCCGAGGGCTTCAGTGTGATGAGAAATTCGCAGTCTAAGACACACCTTGAACACAATTACACTGGTGAACACGTACAAACAAAGGTGCACAACCAACTGATACATACACTGTCACTGTACAGAAATTATGACCAGTAATAAACACACCAAAAATTTTACTATTGTTCAGAGCGATTTAGGTACAACACGTCTGAAGAAAGAATACCTACGACTACGACATTCGTGTAAAATGGGCACCTGGTAAAAAGTTGATAGTTGCCGATGTTTGAGTCGGGCAGCAAACAAAGATAACGCGGTTCCCTTATATCAGAAGTACACGATGAAATGGAATACCAAATCGCCCTCCTGGATTTAACATTAGACTTAATACATATCTGGTGAAAATATAAGCTCGATACTTTTAAAAAAGAAACTTTCAAAGATGAAACGCTTATAATTTTAAAATATTGCTTTTACTATGGTTATACTATGGTTTACTAAATCGATTCTGGCATTAGTTTTCCAGAAATGTCAGTCCTTTTCAAAATGGCGGCTTAGAGCGGGAAGTGGATATTTAGGCTGCTTATCGTCGGATTTATATGAGACTTGGTATCCGGGGGTATTTCGGCACGAGAAGAACGAATCTTTCATTGGATTTTTGAAATCTTCTAAGAACTTTAAAATGGCGGCAAAAATGCGAATGGCGATGGTGGATGCGGATTTTCCGTTATTTTTCCGCCGCCATTTTGACGATATTCCGTGTTTCAAAAATCTAATTAAAGATTAATTTTTTCCGAGCCAAAAACCACCAGAGTATTGACTTTTGTGCAAATCCATCGGTAAACAGCCTTGATATGGATTTTCCGTCATTTTTTCGCCGCCATTTTAAAGTTTTTAAAAATTTCAAAAATCCAATGAAAGATTCGTTCTTCTCGTGCCGAAATACCCCCGAATATTAAGTCTCATACAAATCCGACGATAAGCAGCCTAAATATCCACTTCCCGCTCTAAGCCGCCATTTTAACCGCCGCCATTTTGAAAAGGACTGACATTTCTAGAAAACTAATGCCAGAATCGATTTTCTCGTCCCAAAAATCCCTGGATAACTGAGTTTCAGACCAATCCGCCGATAAAAAACGGAGATGCCAAATCTCCGCCATTTTGAACTTTGACCGGCCGCCATTTAGTCAGAAATCAACATTTTGACCTGCGGTTTGCGCCAAAAATTTTCTTTTTTTATTATCTTTCGGATGAGGTATCACAAAACGGGGGTTGCCATTTGAAAAAAAAAGTTAGCCCCCGCCCCCCTTAAGGGAGGCCGCCCCCCAAAATTTTGGGGGACCAAAAAGTTGCTACCTTAAACCGAGGAACATTCCCAAAGTTTCAAACCTCTATCTCAATTAGGAAAAAAGTTACAAGGGTGGTAGGTGATTTTTGGATAACCTTGTATGACGGTTATACTTTGTTTATATACTGTGAATTTAGCTCTGCTACTAGGGAAGTTTTTGAAGAGAGGAGTACGAACAACTTATGAAAAAAATACAATAAAATATGGACGGATAAATAGTTTTTAAAAACGAAAATATAATAAACGAAATAAGATAAATAAATAATATAAATTAATGAAAAATGAATTATATTATTAATAATGTATTGTAATAAATTTATCAAATTATATATTATATTTATTATATTATGATTTATCATATTAATAATAAAAAATTTTAATATTATTTAATAATTTTTATAATTACTTTCTGGTCTCATCTTAATCGAGCAACATTCTTTTGACTTTAAGCCGCAGATATAAATGAAATTTTATTCAAAGCACAAATGAGTTTCGAAAGTAAAATAGATAAAAGAAAGTCTAAAGGGAAATTTACTCACAGAAAAAATAGCAACATGGATTTCAAAAATTAATAAGGCCACAAAGGCAAGGATAAGAAAATCGTCTTCAAACATATCTATGGATCAACACATACAATAATAAAACGCCAACCGGACGTTTCCGACTTTTTCCGAATATATACTTAAAGTTCGGCGCGAATAACCGAATGATCGGTTTCCGTGACCTTAAAAGTTCGGTAAAACCTTACCGAACTCGGTTGGTCGTGTGTTCCAAACGCCGTAATGCCGTTTGGTACAAAAAACCTCAATACTTAGATTTGTGCCGGAGAACAACCGTATACCGAAGGGTTCGGTAAAAACCACCGAACTTTTTTTTTCAGTGCAATGCTATCTGTACGTTCCCATGATGGGACCAACAGATACCAAACTTTACATAAATTCTTTATCATGATGGTAAGAAAGTCTAAATTGATGTCATCATGTTACCATATTTGTGCAGTGTTGTTAACAAAATCTTTTTTTATCATGTTTATATCTTATTGGGACTTACCATACTGCTAGCAAGTTGGTATTATGTTGGTCTTTTACCCCAAATTGATATCACGTTGATACCATGTTGACATCATCTTGATATCAACATGGGCGTTTTAGACCCAGTTGGTAACAACATAGTCTCAACATGTTACCAACATGTTCATTTTTGGCAGGGTCAAACAATAATAGGAAGCCTCCCATGACGCCACATGATATACCTTTGATCCCATGGCAAAAAAAATAGTGCCAATTTCTATGATTGTAAAGGTAAGAAATATTTAGTTGCTATCGATTAGGTATTTTTCAAAAAACCTATCTTGAAATTATATAATTGCAAAATGTAGGTATCCAAAGATACTGGCGGTGTACACACATATTTAGCTTTGTATACCGCCACACACACATGGACAGTTTTATGCAATAAGGAACTAGGGTCAAATTTTCGATTTTTTTTTTTTTTTTTAATAATGATGAATTCCGTATTGGGAGGGTATTTACTTACTATTGAGAAAAAGAAAATCCTGAAAAACGATTTCTATCCCGCTTCAGCGACCCAGCAGAAATTTGCTGTCGCAGGATCACGCAAGGTTCATTTTGCAATTGGGACCTATACTATGGTTCTCTATTGCGTGATGCGATTTCGCTTTTTGCAATTCGGAACTATATAGGCAGGACGGCAAAATGTTATCTCGGCATTCTCAGCTCCTGTTCGATCGATCTTGCTGACTTTAGGTATTGGAGGGTATTTTTCGACGGGGAACTCGAATTTGTGGTCAAATTTTGAAAATTTGAAAATCCGAAATGGCGGATGTGGCCTAATAGGCTGCTCAATGTATCGTGGTGAATCTTGGTTGTAAAGGGGGTATTTTTGGACGGGAGCCAGTGAGAACAGTGCTTTCCAGTAAAGTGCCGCCCTCTTCTGCCAATTTCTAACCTGAAAATGTGTTTGTTGTGCGTCCAAAACGCAACCACGAAAGCATGCAGAAGATAGCACTTACGGCTGTCTTGCCTAACAATAACCTAGCATGAAAATTAAAAATACCCATTCAAGGTAATGGGAATAAAATCAGTCGATTTTGAATCATCCAAACGATTTCTAGGAGTCTTCCGGACGATTAGAGGCAATTTGACAAAAAACGGAGGCTTCTTTCAATAAAATGTTCTTTTCAGAAGCTTCTGAGCCCGTTTTCTCAAAACTTCATTTTTGCACTTACGGCTCTCTTCGCTATCACGGCAGAATGGACAAATGACCCAAGCTGCCGTTTTGAGAAAACGGGCTCAGAAGCTTCTGACAAGAACATTTTATTGAAAGAAGCCTCCGTTCTTTGTCAAATTGCCACTAATCGTCCGGAAGACTCCTAGAAATCGTTTGGATGATTCAAAATCGACTGATTTTATTTCCATTACATAAAAAGGGTATTTTTAATTTTCATGCTAGGTTATTGTTAGGCAAGACAGCCGTAAGTGCTATCTTCTGCATGCTTTCGTGGTTGCGTTTTGGACGCACAACAAACACATTTTCAGGTTAGAAATTGGCAGAAGAGGGCGGCACTTTACTGGAAAGCACTGTTCTCATTGGCTCTCATGCATCTACGGCTGTCTTGAAAAAAATAACTGTGTCATTTTTTGTGCACTTACGGCTTTTACATACGTCTCGTTTTCATTAAATTAGGATGAATTTTGCTGTTTCAGCTGTCTCAGTAATTTCATCTAAAAGAGCCTAGACGAATTTTGAAGAAAACTCGATTTCGAAAATTTTGCACTTACGGCTCTCTTCGCTATCATGGCAGCATTGCAATCATCCAATTTCCCTGATAGGATCCCTCTGTACTCCTTTTGTCTCCTATGTCTATAATTTAGTCTATCCATTTCAATGACACGCCCACTTTTGGGTGTCACTCTGCGTTACTTGCTAGAAACGCTTGATTCACGGATCTGTTGACGATGGGCCGAGGCGCAAGTCGCGAGGGTCGCGACTTGAGAGACCATACCTTTCTTCGTATGGTTTGCGACGTGTTACAGTAGCGGGAGAGCGTGAGAGCGGGAGACCCTATTTCCGCATACTCCCGCGAACGCGAAAAGGGTCTGTAAATGAACCGAGGCGACAAAAACGAAATCGAAGGCCGATCGGGCAATATTTTAGCGGGAAAGGCCATAATCATCTCGCATGCCACGACGTCGCGTCGCCTCCCCCCCCCTCCTTGCTCTCCCTTCGCCCCCGCCGCCGTCACCGAGTGCTAGACGAGCTTAGCCCATGAATGAACTTTCTTACTACCGGAGCGAGCATGACACAGTTGGCAATAGCAGTGTGACGTCACGGCTCGTATTGATCCCTGCCGCCACGGACCTGTCGCGGTCGCGCGGCGCATCGCCAGTTCACGCACGGCGGCCAGCTCTTCGCTTCGCGTCGCGTTTCGCTCTCATCTGCACCCGACATGTTGTCGAGGTTAGTCCCCGATGCTAGAGGCTAAAACCACCCACAGAGGTTAAGCCAGTCCCCAGCCCATTCCAGTCACGTAATTTCGAGTGGACCCTGCAGGATTCCTTTTCAGGTGGTCTTTTGGGTGTTCAAGACAGGTTAGAGTGGTTTGTTTACGGAGCCGATCAAGTGTCGGCATTGAACGCTTCCGAGCGTGGCGATGTGCTACCTTATTGAGTGAGTATATAATAACGCTTTAGCGCTTAGTCATAAATGATCTCACTCGGACGGAGGATAAGGGATGCTCAATGGCATTTGGACAAGAAACGGTTTCCATCTTTCTACTAGGCCTTTTTTTTCTCCTTCCTTTCTTGAGAAAATTAAGTTTGAGCAAAATATTCAAAGGGGAAATAGAAAAAAAACGCGCCTATTTTAGATTGCGACGTTCTAAGTCTCCGACTTTATTTTTCTAAAGGAAAACCACGCACTCAACAGCTCCTATTAAAAGGTATTATTTGTGAGTTTTCTTCACTCATTTAAAAAAAAAAAAAAAAAATCAGAATTGCAAGGAAACATGTTACTTAGTACGTTTTTCATAAAGAAAATGAAACAAATTTGGAGATTTTGATACCTATGTTGCTGTTAGGGTACGGAATGATAGAATGGATAATAGGAATGATGACCTTAAACTTGTCCATGTTAAAAAATATGATAAACTATCATTATATTTAATAATATGAGACCTGAAAGGCCGAAAATGTCCAGTCGGTTACGCGCCGCCAACCACGATTTTGACGCAGTAAGTAGAACAATTTGCGGTAATAAAGCAGTATTGATCATGGATTCTCTGGCAATATTTGCTGAAAGGAGACTCTGTTCAAGAAAATTGCCAGTTTGAACTGAAATGTTTATTATTAAGGGAGAGAAGTCATTAGAAAGAAATGTCGCCACATTTGGCAACATATTTTTGCAGTTGTATATTAAGTGCAGTGTTTATCACGCCAGATGAAACCGGAAGTTTCAAAACTGTCATCAAATTGTTCGCTGAAGTCTTCTCGGCAGAACCTTTACTGATACGTCAGTTTTTTTTACAATGAAAACTTTAATTTTTATGAACACTACCTAGTGATATTTAGGTGTGGAGCACTAATTCCTCAATACACAAAATCCTCAATTTAATATTAGGTACCTATTAAACTAAAAGGAGGTCTCCGAAGTTTAGAAAATTTTTAAGGCAGCGTTAATTCCACTTCATAACTCAAGGAAATGCTAATTTTCATCTTGTGTAGGTACTTATCATCTTTTATTTCACACTTTAAAGTGTCGGTCACGCTGTGCTGTGTCGGTTATGTAACCGACACAGCACAGCGGGCTGTCAGGGCCGCCATGTTTGCTTGGACCCTCAGCAGCCCCGCGGGAAGAGCTGATACCTGATCCAATGGCTTGTTTATCAATCACTATAACTTTGTACTGAATCAAAATAGTTCGTGCCAATAAGCTGGAAAGAGGACGTTTAATACCTTTAAAATGAGGTACCTAATGAAATCTTGTTAAAATACATAGGTTGTCCCAAAAGTACTGCACGTTTTTTTTTTTTGGACGAACGGTAGCAGATATCAAAATGCGGTTTGTGTAGTCTTAAAGACCGGCCAATTACCGATAAAACAAGACAAATCCAAGCTCTCTAAGTCAAAAAATGACCAAGTTACAGTGTTTTGAAAATGACTTGTAGAGGTGACCCCTCCAGGATTTTTAGCTTTTTTTCTGGAAAAAACAAAGATTTGATTAATCAAAAATTCTACAGAGAAATCATCGCGATCGAATGAAGTTGGCAACATGATATCAGCCCGGACCTTGCACCCTGCGATTTTTGGTTATTCCCTACGCTGAAAAAGGGCTTAAGAGGCAGGAAATTGAACTCCATCAACGAGATAAAAAGAGCTGTTGAAACTTTCTTGAAGAACATCAGGCAAGAAGAATTCGAAAAAACATGTTTGAAGAAGTGGGAAGAACGGTTGCGGCGCTGTGTGGCAAGCGATGGAAGGTATTTTGAGAAGGAAACCAGTGTCCAGTCGTCAAGTGAAGAGGATTAAATGCCAGTAATCTTGGTAAGATTGTGTAAAATTGATTCAATAAAACCAATTGATCTTGAATCTTTAAATCTTTGTTTTTTTTCCAGAAAAGAAGCTAAAATTTCCGTAGGGGTCCCCTCTGGAAGCCATTTTCAAAACCCTGTAACTTGGTCATTTTTTGACTTAGAGAGCTTGGATTTGTGTTGTTTTATCGGTAATTGCTCTGTCTTTAAGACTACACAAACCGCATTTTGATATCTGCTACCTTTCGTCCAAAAAAAAACCTGCAGTACTTTTGGGACTGTTATGTTAGTGGTAACCGATGAAAAGAAGAACGACACGAGTTAGGAGGACGCCATGACCGAATAAGTGTATTGAGGGGGCCGCTTCCACAGAGCCTGGGCGGCTAGGCGCACATTGTTGCCATATTGACATGCTACTAACATCCTTCCCTTAGTTTTTTTTTTTTTTTTTTGAAAAAAAATATATATATAACATATGTATACAATAACATGCAGTCTTACAAGTTTCTAATTATTTTAAATATAATCTAGTTTTTTCATCAAGACAGCAGTGATTTATAAAATAACAATAATACGTACAGGATATTAAAATTATTATGTTGGAGAATATCTTTGTGGCTGTTTGATAATTCTTTTTGTGGGTACTTTTGGAATGCTCGGAGTGCTTAAACCTCTACCTCGCCCTCTTGATGGTTTACTTGTGATGGGCGTATTTAATGTTGGTTCAGGTCTGATATAGCTTTAGTCGTTTCATATTCTGAATCTGAATTGATAGTCTGTGGACTGACATTTGAAATGATTTGTTCTTTCTCATGTGGCGCTAAAGGAAATCTAATTTTTGCTTCTGATTCTATTGTATTTGAATTACTTGGTGACAAACTTTGTACAGTTTTTTGTTGATTATTGAAATTAAAAGAGACATTCTTAGGATGTGTTTTAATATGGAAACGCGTACGTCTGTATGTTTTGTTGTTTGGAGCTTGGAGCATATATGATTGGGGTTCCTTACATTTACGGATGACAATAGCAGGAGACCAAGTATCTGAAGGTGTTTTTTTTTTAAGTAAACTTTATATCGTTGACGGATAATTCGCTAAAAGGTTTTGCACGTGCAATGCGCTTAATCATAGTTTGTTTTCTTTTTTCTAGGGTATGCCTGTATTTGTTGCTATCAATTAAAGTAGCCCTTGTAGCCAAAATAGGATTATCGAATATGTATCTGCCAGAAAGGCTATTTTATAGCTATTTATTTTGTTATTTTATATGGTATCGTACAGATAGCATATTTTATAGCTATTTCGTAGCTATTCCATGCGCATTTATCTTGGTTTAAAATTTATGTTTGAAAATATGTATTTTATAGCTATGTACTAGGTTTTTTTCCTCTTTCAAGCCCTTCATCCTGTTGCAAGGAGTACATACCCAGTTCCCAGTTAGCATCTAATCTTCCGAAAATATCCGTGCAAAATCCGGCACCTTTGCATCATTTAAGAATATTGCGGACAATCTTTTTCTGTATTATAATAAGTGCGCCTCCTCCCTTTTGTGTAGCAGTAAGACATTATTTGAACAATTAAATTAAGGGAAGTCATGTACTTTATAGGATAGTGAATAATTTAAAACACTAAATGGGTGGAATAAATTGCATCATTCAACCTTAACATTTAAGAAACCCAAGAATTATTGTATATTCCAAGTAGCATGGATTGCAATTTCATTGCAATGGATTGTGAGTTGATTGCAATTTTTGCTTGTTGCCTATACGTTCATTTGAAGGCGCTTAAAAAGTTGCAATTTTATTGCAATAAGTTTGCAAGAAATGTAGATTATGCTTGTTGCCTAACCTTCTTTTTCAAGGCACTATAAAGACTGCAATTTCGGTGCAATCATGTTGTAGCAAATTCACGCCATGTGCCTGGCATCCAATTCTCTAGTTGTTTTAAAGTTTTTTCGACTTAAATGTCTCACCTAACCCATATAGCCCAACATATTTTGAAAATATTGTCACCTTTATCAAAATATTTTCATGGCAATATTGTAAGTAAAATATTTTCAAAATATTTTTAAAACATTTTAAAGGAATATTTTGAAAATGTTTACAAAAAATATTTTTAAAATAATTCAAAAATATTGCCTGTAAACATGCATGTTAAAAATATTCCTTAAGAAAGTTTTGAAAATATTTTAAAAATATTTTTTGAAAATATTTTTAAGTTCTCAAGTTAGTATGTGGTGTAATTTACACCGGTGTACATTTAGTGTGAGTACCTATTACGTGATATCGAAAAAAAAAATCAGACAAAAAAAATATGAAAAAAATAAATAACACGAAAAAAAATAAATAATAGGCAAAAGAAAGAAGCCTGAGAAAAACGGCGTTATTCAAATCTATGATGAATGTTGAGCCACGCACTGACGCAATGCATGCGATAACAGCCTTAAGAGGCGTGATTTCAACCCAACTCATCATCAGCTCCCTGTAGCTCAGTGGAAAAGTGCTCCGCTATGACATTCGCGGGTCGAGTTCAAGCCCACTCAAGGGCGTCCGGTATTTTATGCTGCTAAACGTCGTAGGACATTAGGTAAGCATGGGTTCGAATTATTATAATTTCCCCGGAAAATTTAGGGGTTGAAATTTAAAGGTCGTCAATATTGAAATTTCTTTGCAAAAAAAAAAATTGCAACTTTTTTACAATGAGGGGGTCAGATGTTGTAAAATAATTGCAATTTTCTTGCAAGAAAGTTGAAATCATCTGGAAATTTTATTTCATTTAAATTGCAATTTTTTCGTTGCAAAATGCTACTTGGGATTTTCTTAAACATGTTAAAGAATTTTCGTACTATTGTTAGTTGCAGCCTTAAGAACCATAAGATGATAAGTAGGTACATTGCAACGTTGCTATGATAGAGCAACTTTATTTTTTGCAAACCAAAATCACATAGAATTGCAAACCTTAATGCAAAAAAAAAATCAGCATAGCCCAGGGAATTTTTGCTAAAAGAGTTTCACCTCTACATGGTTTTGATTTGCTGCATTTATCGTATACAGTTGCACAATCTTGGCAACGTATCAATGCACTTACCACCTTATGGTTTTCAAGGTCTCAATTTTGGTTAATTTTCAAAAGTGAAATACCTTTTAAATACCTTTTCAATAGGTATCCATATACCTATTAAATAGCTATTCAGATACCCATTTTATAGCTATCGAGAAAGCTATAAAATAGGGTATTTATAGTTGAAAAAAAGGATACTACATAGGGTATTTAGATAGGATATTTTCTATCTAATTTCAGCTATTTTATACCCTATTTCATAGCTATTTGGATGTATTTTAAATTGCTATTTCGATAATTATTAAAAAGAATATTTTGGCTACTAGGGGCCCGGACAAAGGGCGTGTGCAGAGCGTGCGGCGCACAAGGGCGCCAGTCTTTAGGGGGCGCTACGAAAGAAGAAGAGAGGGAAAAAAGGAAAGGAAAACAAGGGAAGAAAAGAAATGGAAAAGAAGGAAAAGGGAGAAAAGAAAAAGGAAAATGAAACAAGGTTGATCAGTGAGGGCAAGGAGGAAGGGGGGAAATGGACGGAAAAAGGAGGCAAGGAAAGTGAAAAGAGAGTCCGCGAGAAAAGGGGGGCATAAAAACATACCATAGGCAAAATATAGAGAGAATTCAATTGCCGTCTAAAGGTAAAGTTTCAGGACAAAACCTCCACCTGGTCTTTAGACGCTTAGGCGCCCTTTGACCCTGCATTTACGAGGTTTTTTTGAGCTTGGGAGTTAATTTCAGAGAAAACTAGTGGCACCATCGTGTTTCGCGCGAACTTTTACATAAGAATCAACAGTCAAATCGCAAATTCCTCACACATGCAACATCTCCAATGAAAATAGTATTAGGTGCCCCCCCCCCCAGAAATTCTTCATGGTGGGAGGAACTTTCGTCGAGGATGATCATCTCGTTTAATAGGAGCTCAATTAATTTTATTTTTCACGATTTCGAAAATTATTTCCTTAAATAATCCTTTGGGGTGCCTCTTTTCCCCCAACCACCCTGCTTAACATTTTCCATGCGGCTGATTTCCATGAATTTGGTTTCCATGCCATATGCGCACGGAAACTTTTCCGTCTCAATTTTCCATGCGGCTGATTTCCATACAAATTTCGCATGGAACATTTTTACTAGGGTTTCTACGTCTGCCATTTTCCAAGCCTAATTCATTCCGCGCTTGATCTTTGATGAAAAGTAATTCTTGTGACGAGATTTTTCCTGACGTAATTATATCCCTTTTTTGGTCAATCAGTCGTTGTCCGGTTACATTTTCACAGTCCGGCTTTCAGAAAAAGCCGTCTCATATCATCCCTGTATCCAGAAGTTGTTTCGATCCCAGACGCTAAATAATAACATCGGATGACCTAGGTTTCCCTGCCTCCGTGGTCGACGGCCAGTGTTCGAAACTCGCATTGGAGTTTCAGGAGCCATGTGGCGCATCAAGGTCGATTTTTAGGGACCATTAAAGATTTTTTAGGGGCCAAATTGACTTTTTGCCCATGTATCACGGCGCATTCACTGACAAGTTAGAAGCAAAATGTTTTAGTTACAGAACTAGTGGCTGTTACTTGGAGGAAATTTCGAAATATCACCCAACAGAAAAACTACGATTTTTTTTCTTGGGGGGGGGGGATTAATTTTTAGGGGCCACAATGGCGCAGAGCTTTCATTTTTTAGGCGCCATGACCGATTTCTTAGGCGCATTTGCCGCGTTGGCGCCTGTGAGCTTCGAACACTGCGACGGCTGACTAACCGACGAAACATAGGAATACCAAGTATAGCAGTGATCGCGATAAATTGCGATTTAATCGGAGAATGTATCTGTCACAGGCAGTCAACAATTTTAGGCGAATAGCCATCTGCCTAGGCGAACAGCCATCTGCCTAGGCGAACAACAAGTTGCCTAGGCAAATAACATTACGGAATATCAGGCAAATAACAATCGATAGATAAAGGAACATTAGGTGACAAGTTTACCTTTATTTCTTAGAGTAGGCTACGGCCTACGGATTGTCAACGGCTATTACACTCTCTATTGCTTTTGAAACATGAGCACTGTTTCGTTTCGCAATTGAGTCTTGCTTTCTTGTGGCTCTGAGGTGGATTTTTTCTTGAGGGGTTTATTTTCAATCTCTGCTTCAACCCTTGTCCTTTTTTCTGGATGAGTTTTACAGCTATCTGCACCTTTGTCTGACTGCAAATGCAATGCTTCTAAATCTTCTTCAGTTCGAAGCTTTCCCAAAAGTTCAGCGGGGACGTTACTCATTTTTAAACCAATTTTGGGATCTGATCCGTACAAACAACGATAGGGACTCCTACCAATGGTTCTATGATAAGACACATTTTTGGCACATTTTTGGCAGTCCTTGCGTGTAACTCTGTGTTGTCAGTCGAGTGTTTTGGTCACCTATTCTCAGACTACACTTAATGCATCGTCGTGTTTCGTATCTGGCAGCCAGATCGTTACGAAAAAAAATCTTATTACGATGAAAAGTTAGATTGTTTTTTGCCTGAATTCTGGTTCAGCTCTAGCTTGCCTAGGCATACAGCAAGTTGCCGAGGCAAACAGTAAGTTGCCTAGGCAAACAGTAAGTTGCCTAGACAAACAGCAAACTGTCTAGGCAAATAGTCATCTGCCTGGGCAAATAGGCATGATTGCTTAAGGTGCTTTCGTCATGTCGGAAAATCGACGAGGTCCGAGTGCCAATCGGTGCTATCTATGAAAATAATAGGCTGTATTAAATTTGAGCCAATTTGAAGCTTTTTTAGCTGATGCTCAAAGGGGTCAAAACTAAGGGGCAAAATTACATTTGTTTAAATGAGCGGAAAAACGCGCGATCTGCGAAAATGCGTTTTTTGGATCTAAAATGCGCTTAAATGAAGAAAACCTGACCAGCTCTCAGAGAGGCTTCTAGGGGCCCATTTGAAACGAGAAAATCACACTTTTGACCCATGAGTGGGGACAGGGGGGTCACGGCGTAGCCGTTTTTGGATTCTTCATTTAAGCGCATTTTACATCTAGAAAACGCATTTTCGAAGATCACGCGTTTTTCCGCCCATTTAAACCAATGTATTTTTGCCCCTTAGTTTTGATCCCTTTGAGCATGAGCTGAAAAAGCTTCAAATTGGCTCAAATTTAATACAGCCTATTATTTTCATAGATAGCACCGATTGGCACCCGGACCTCGTCGATTTTCCGACATGACGAAAAAAATCCGCACCCTAATGACTGCTATGTGCCTAGGCAGATGGCTATTCGCCTAAAATTGTTAAATGCCTGTGACATATCGCGATTTAATCGACGTCGATTTATTGCAATTTTATCAGATAAAAAATCGCAAAAATTCCGATTTCATCGCATTAAAATGCAATAAAATCGTGATTTTATCGACGGCGATTTCGGATTTATCGCAATATTATCGGGAGAAAAATTGTGATAAATTGAGATAAAATTTCGATTTTATCGTACGCGATTTTATAGAGATAAAATTGCAATCCCTGCTGAAAATGAACATGTAGTTAACTTGTTGAGACCATGTTGTTACCAACATGTCATGATAACACATGAAAAAAAAAATAAAATAAAATATGGACGGATCAATAGTTAATAAAAATGAAAATATTAAAAACGAAATAAGATAAATAAATAATATAAATTAATGAAAAATGAATAATATTATTAATAATTTCTTATAATGTATTATATTTATTATATTATACATTATATTTATTATATAATATATTATACTTACTATATACTATGATTTATCATATTAATAATATAAATTCGTAATATTATTTAATAATTTGAATAATTACTTCCTGGTCTCATCTTAATCGAGCAACATTCTTTTGACTTTAAGCCGCAGATATAAATGAAATTTTATTCAATGCACAAATGAGTTTCGAAAGTAAAATAGATAAAAGAGAGTCTAAAGGAAAATTTACTCACAGAAAAAATATCAAGATGGATTTCAAAAATTAATAAGGCCACAAAGGCAAGGATAAGAAAATCGTCTTTAAACATATCTATGGATCAACACGTACAATAATAACACGCCAACCGAACGTTTCCGACTTTCTCCGAATATATACTGAAAGTTCGGCGCGAATAACCGAATGATCGGTTTCCGTGATCTTAAAAGTTCGGTAAAACCTTACCGAACTCGGTTGGTCGTGTGTTCCAAACGCCGTAATGCCGTTTGGTTCAAAAAACCCAATACTTCGGTTTGTGCCAGAGAACAACCGTATACCGAAGGATTCGGTAAAAATCACCGAACTTTTTTTTTCAGTGCAATGCTATCTGTATGCTCCCATGATGGGACCAACAGATACCAAACTTAAAATCAACTCTTTATCATGATGGTAAGAAAGTCCAAATTGATATCATAATGTTACCATATTTGTGCAATGTTCTTAAAGACATTTTTTTTAAAATCATGTTTATATCTTATTGGGACTTGCCATACTTGGTATCATGTTGGTCTTTTACCCCAAGTTGATATCACGTTGATAACATGTTGACATCATCTTGATACCAACATGGGCGTTTTAGACCCTGTTGGTAACAACATGGTCTCAACATATTACCAACATGGTCATTTTTAGCAGGGCTCCGGCTAGGTAGTAATATGATAATAGTCCATTAGTTACAGGCAGTGATTGTTTATCACTCTAATGGACCTAATTGAAATATTCAGTTTTCTGTCACTGAATTTTTTAATGTATTGATTTTGATTTGTTTCAGGGTGGACTTCGACACAAAAAGTCGAACGCAGACGTTTCTAATTTATTGTACTCGGTAAGTTCGGCATCATTTCAGTTACCGAATCAACCTTTAAACCCGTTTCGATTAAATCTTACTTCTTACACTTTTCTGAAGATATATTAATTGACGATTTTATTTACGGTTCGGCGTTTGAGCAAAGATTAGAAGAAAGTGTTGGGTAATCTTACTCATGGCTCCGCAATAATAACCGGGAATGAACTTTGTTCCCGGCGTGCACAGGTTAAAAATACGATACCAATTGTTACTACCTTTTTAAGTTCTGCGGTGGAGAATATCGTCGAGAGTTGAACTCAAATCTTGAACAATAGTTATGAATTGATTTTTTGCCCACAAAAATTTGCCTGACTCAATTTCATTGTTTATATTGCCAGTGCAGGGTCTCTAAAATACATGTTTTGCCTCTGTCAAAATGTAACTACTGTTGCTTATTTACATTGGACGTTCGTGGTGAAAATTGCCTTGAGGAATTAGTCACCACGGTTCCATTCATTTTATCGCTACTCTGACCTGACGTCGAAGCAGCGATTTAGTGCAGAGGAGAATTTTATGTGCGGCTGTCCGCGGCGCTGCCGGTGGGCAGTTGGTGAACCACTTCTAGCGGGGAGAGCTTTCACACAGAGAAACTTACATATTGCTAATTCCACCGCAATGGAGATGTTGCATGTGTGAGGAATTTGCGATTTGACTACCCTAGTAGCAGAGCTAAATTCACAGTATATAAACGAAGAATAACCGTTAAATAAAGTGCCTATTTATATGAAAAATGTATAATCAAAGTATAACGGTTATATAAAATATTTATAAAGAGCGTATTTATATAAAAAATATGTAACTGAAGTATAACGGTTATATAAAACATTTTTACAAATATCTTTCATATAAACTAATTATAAAGGTTATTCGCGCAATTTATAAAATGATTTGATTAATTACGGTTATACGACAGCGGTTTCCTTTGAACATCCCGTTACTTAACCGTTATATAACCGTTATTTGAGTAGTAAACTTTCCTTACATTTTCTTTTTTTAGATAAATCTGTTACTAGGGTAGTGATTCTTATGTAAAAGTTCGCGAGAAACACGATGGTGCCACTAGTTTTCTCTGAAATTAACTCCCAAGCTCAAAAAAAGCAAGTTGAGGCCAAAATGGAGGGGATATCCCACGCTATCCCGAGAGCCCACCTCTGCAGCAAGACAAACTCTCCATGCAAAGATAGGGAGTAAATACATTAGCAGGGTTGCCGTGTTTTCAGTTGTGGAGTCCCCAAATAAAGTGGTAGCCCTGTAAATGTATTTGCTCCCTATCTTTGCATAGAGAGTTCGTCTTGATGTAGAGGTGGACTTTCAGGATAGCGTGGGGTATCCCCTCCATTTTGGCCTCAACTTGAGAGCTTTTTTTGAGCTCGGGAGTTAATTTCAGCGAAAACCAGTGGCACCATCGTGTTTCTCGCGAACTTTTACCTAAAAATCAGCAGGTAGTCAAATTGCAAATTTCTCACACATACAACATCTCCATTTGCATTGAGGTCCGGTGGCTGAAGGCGCGATATAGCTCGGCGTTCGTAGGCGAATTTCGGCTTGCGAATGAGTCGACCAGCGGACCTCCCTGTACGAATAGCACACAACACTGTTCTCGGAGCAGTGTTGCGTCCAATTCGCCGTAGACATTCGGCTAGCGAATGCACAGCGGAATCGCGCCCTCCCTAGTAGCAGAACCATAGAAGGAAAAGATAAATATTATGTACGAAAGTTCATTTTTTTTATATAATTCATGCATACGAGTGTTAAAAGTGAACATTTTTATGTAACCATTATATAAAAAAATGTCATAATTTTCGTGAGCTTTTCGCAAACTTACTAAAAAATTTTCTAATTCGCGAAAAGCTCACGAAAATGATGACCTATTTTCTTATACAATAGTTACATAAGAATGTTCACTTTTAACACTTTCGTATGCATGCGTTGTATAAAAAAATAAAACATTTGTGTTTAAAAAAAAGTCCCTTATCTAGCTTTTATCATTTTTCATATAGGTATTACGGTCAGGTCTGAACTTTGATTTTTTTTTACATGAGCGTTACACGTTTTTTATATAGAACGATAATTTAGATAACAGATGTTTTTTTTTTATACTTTTTTTAGAAAAACAAAAATTTGTTCCGCTACTAGGGTTCAGTGAACAGGATGCTGGTCTGCGTTGCGTGTCATGTTTGTGGGGTTGTGAATGATAAACACTTCGTGTTAGAGAGGACAAGAACAATGCATTTCATGATAAGACCACACGATGATGCTATATGTATAGCATCATTAGCATAATGTGATTTGCACACAGAATTGCATTATGCTAGCATTGCACTAGTTATACACTCTCGAGTATATAGCTAGCATTATACTAGCTATACACTCACGAGTATATAGCTAGCATTATACTAGCTATACACTCACGAGTGTAATGCTAGCATTACACTGGCATTATACTAATTCTACACTCAGGAGTATTATCTTGACACTTCACTAATTATGTGCGCATTAGCATTATGCTAGCTAGCACATCCCTAAGTAACAATGCGCTGCACAGTGGGAAAATCAGCCGATCTAGCGCCGAAAAAGTCGGAAAATCAGCATCAATGAAAATGGCCAAAATTGGTATGTATGTGTTCCTTAGGATCTACTGGTCAAGAATCAGTCATGTTCTACCTCATAAGATCGATCTTATCCTCTACGATAATAATACGAAACGCACCAGTAAGCGCGGAGCTGGTTGAGGATCGCCTCGGAGTGGTTACATTCAGTAGCCCCCTGTGTTCGTCTAAGCGTATCATGTAGTGACTTTTTGATTTTTTTTCAACAATGGCTTGTTCACCTAAACGTGAGGATACCAATTTTTTCTTTTTTACATACTTCTATGACTTACAGCAATTTTTGAAAGTTAGCCTCTGAAATAGTCAGAAGTTCTAACTTCTAAAGATGCATCTTACAATATCCAAGGATATCCAAGGAGATATTTATATCCAGTTACTCGTTATACTATCAAGATCACAAAAATTCTTGGTTAAAACCAGCCTTTCCCAGCCTTTCAGAGATATTTGATCAAAACTTAGTCTAAACATGTGCTCAAATTGATTGTAACTGTCGTTTTGCCTAGCAGCCTAGCGTTGAATCGCTGAGTAGCGTAAGGAGAGTGCGTGAGCAGAGCGCTGCGCGCGCAACTCCCCAACGCACTTTTATACTACAACTATTTCCTATTAGTTGCATGACGTAGTCATAGCCTAGTGGACAGCGAGCTAATTCATACCAGTGATAGAGGGGCACTTCCGGCCTCCAAATCCGGGGTTGGTTTAGTCCCCAGCCCCCCGAGTGCGACGTTGCCATTTTTTAAAGTCGAAACATGTTAAACCCCATAACTTTTGAGCAATTAAAGATACGAAGGTGCGGTTTGTTTCAGTTGATAGAACATAAAAAGAGCTATCATTTCGTATATAGTTTCATCCATTGTTGCCAAATTTACCCAAAAATCGACAATTTTTCGATTTTTTCAAGGTGCAAAAATACGGTTAACCTAAAAAATTCGGTATTGGGACAGCACGTAGGAAAATAAAAAAACACGCGTAATTAAAGCCCTTAATGTGAGCTTTCCAACGGTATATTGGTTTTTCCGGGGAAACGATTCTATCGCGAGATACAGGCCTTCAAAGTCCGACTTGGCGAACTTTTTGAGGTCTCCCGTCATTCGCACCTGAAAAAATCAGTACTGCGCACGCACATAAGAAAATGAAAATTACATGTAATGGAAGCCCTTTGTGTGAGCTTTCCAACGGTATATTGGTTTTTCCGGAGAAACAATTTTGTCGCGAGACACATGCCTACCCTGGTAAAAATGGCAAGTGCTCAGATCAGTAGCACTTGCCTTTGGAACAGACCTAAGCACTGATGTCAGTGCTGCCGGGCGCTGATCTGCTACCTCAGTGTTAGGTCTGTTCCAAAGGCAAGTGCCTCTGATGTAAGTGGCACTGACCTAAGTGTCTCAGACGTAAGCGGAGTGGAAACTCCCAGAAATACTGTACAGGCAAAAATTTCGTTAATTACCGATCTGCCAGGTACGTTAAGTCACTATTTGACGATCAGGGAGGGCTGCTGTGAGTTTTCAATCCCAAGCAAGTATCTTAATCGTCAGGGGACATCGCTCATTCCTATGCGGTCTCCAATCTAAGTGCTAACTACGCCCGACGTAACTTAACTTCGGTGATCGTCCTAGCGATTGAACCACTACACTACCTGCGCGTGTACGTATTAGGGGCGTAATTTTACCATTTCAGGGTCCCCATTGGGGTAATTTTGCCAGCAAATGATGATTTTGTCTTTGAATGTGAATCCGATACTTAATTTTTCTATTATTCTTTTTTAATCA